GGGGGGGGGGGGGTTTATGCTATCTTCATTCTAACTCAGAATATTAAGCCCTACATGAGTTAGGAGCAAAAAAAATTATTCTGAAATCATACATAAGAATATTAATGTTTTATACGGAATAAGGTTTTGGAAGAGGCATGTCCTTGATAATACCACACAAGATATCATTGTCAGGCATATTGTATTCATCTTTCAAATCTCTTTTTGGAGAGAGGACACTGAAGTAAAGCTGTTGTCCTAAGTATTGCCTTTCAAGAGAGTTTGACCTTAAGTTCCAAAGGCCAGCATTGTCAATAGTAGTCATGATTGCTGCCCATGAATTAGGATAAACTTGGATGGTATTCCTTGACACTGCATCAAGCAAGTTGTAGTTCTTCCTCTTCTCTGCTGTCCATTTCCCTGGTTCAATCCTACATATATACACCATGTCATTTCATTAAAATTTAAACATGATAGATTCACAATTAATTTAACATTTTTATACTAAAATTATTGTACTATTAAAATTATGGATTCAGGTCTAATATTTGTTAGAATTTTAGTGGATATTCACACACGCGCGCGCTCACACATATATATACACACACGCTACGCGTCAAAATACTGTAAACTACATCCATCACTGACTAATAGTGACGCATGTACAACTTTAGGGATCAGAGGCAGATGTAGTGCAAAAGTTATAGGTTCATTCGAACCTAATAACTTTGACTCAAACACTGTATATAAGTTAAAAAGTTCACTAAATGAGTACAAATCAGAATTCTGTGGGCTCTAGTTGAATTTTGGGCTCGAGCCTATAATGTTCAGATCTTAGATCCGTCTATGTTAGGGATGGATTTGAACCCATAATTTTGTTTATTTAGCCATAAATATATTCGTGAAAACCTATAAAAATTGAATTACTATGTTCTAATCTCATATTTTCAAAGAATTCAAATCCTTAGCTTGAACCTATTTAAATCAAATTTTGAATTTGACTCTAGTAAAGTTAGTAATGTAAAGTGGCGAACATAGCATTCTTGAGTATGATTAAAATATTCTAAATTAAAGGGAGAGTAGAGGTTTGGACAAAAGGTACTTACGCAACAGCAAAGAAAGAGTATCCAGCCAAGTGAAAAGATTGAACACTCTTCTCGTGGTTCTCAAAGATGATCTCCACAAAGTTGCGATAAGTGCCATTTACTACATTTGGTGCAAGTGTAATCTTCTCTTCTGTTTTAGCAGTTGGAGCTTCATAATCATCCTTAATAATATCATACTTGAAAACCTTGTCAGCAACACTATAGTACTCAGCCAACTTAATTGGAGTCTCAGGATTCACATGTGAAACACCGTTGATTGCATATCGAAGCTTTCCATCCACTGATCCCGCCGTGTTCACTAGTTTTATGGTACGCGTGATGTTGATCTGGCCGTAGTGGTAGGATCCCTGTGGATTAGGTCTAGCTGCACTTGCTGTCAAATTCCAACGGAATGAGCGGAACTGGTTAAGTGACCAAGCCCAACCGATTGGAGCCTTTGGCAATTCTAATGAGGCCGGGGCGCCTTTGCCATTGCCGTAACGGATAGTGGCGGTAGCAGTGTGTGGTTCCTTTGTGAATCGCGTGGAGGCCACGAGGAAGTAATCCTTAGGGTCCTTATCAGCAGTTACCAGAACAGACATACACTGTCCGAGGTGAACATCAAGTGAATCGTACATGTTTTGTACGGTGTGAGATCCTTCGATCTCAACTAATTTCATGATGTGTCCTTGGATTCTAACGTTGATAGAATCCTTCATGCCAACGTTACAAAACCTGTACCTATACGTCTTTCCAGGGGTCATAGTGAACATTGGCTCGTCCTTGTTATCGCCTTTGCCACTTTTGCCATTGATGATGACTCCGTTGGGCCTTCCCGCGGAGCGCCCACTATCCAAAAGCTTCCTCAATTGGGAATGACTTTTGGTGTACCAATCACTTACAAGGACGAAGAATTCGTCTGCAGGGTTAACATCAAAGGGGATGGGAATCAATGCGCGACTATGGACACTTATCCCACCATACCCACCCGCTGCACGATGCAAAGCTGTGGTGGGGTAATAGTAAAAGCTTCCAATTTGATCCTTGACCTGGAATTGATACGTAAAATTGCTCCCGGGAGGAATGGGACAATTGGTGCCAAGGGTACCTTCTTGCCACGAATTCTTCCTCTGTTGGACACCGTTCCATGTAAAAAGGAACGGCTCGTCCAACTGATTGAAGACATTGACAACAATATTATTGTTGGAGGTGCCATTAATTATAGGTCCGGGAAATTGGCCATTGATCAAAATAACTTGTTGGGGTACACCAAGGGTAGAGATAGTGCCATAAGTGACTTTCCATTCAAAAAACAAAAAAGGATCTCCTCCTTTTACTAGTGATGTTGAAAGACACAATGTCAGCAACACAAGAACAAATCTCAACTTTTCCATATTCAATTTTCGTTTTTGTCTTCTTTTTTTTTTGGTTTCTTAGTTTGATTTTAATAGAAACAATAGAAGAGTTTTCTATTGACAAAAAGGACAATCAAAGAAATGATTGTGCATTCTGTTGAGAGGGACTGCCCTTTTATTTATGTAAGTTGTGGTATGTTGAGCTTGTTAAGATTGGTGATTGATGGCCAGACAAAAATAGCCGTGAAAATTTCATGAATTATCCGCAAGCGTCGTTTGCTCATGGTCTTTGCTATTGCTTCCTTCTTGCGGTTTTCCTTTGTCGTCTTTTCTTTTAACCCCCATAGACGAACCTATTAAATTTTTCTTTAAAATTTAAGTTACAAAATATCATTACGTATAAAAACAAAACTTTGTAAAATTATACTACTTATTTTTGAAAATCAGAAAAATATCAAATCGTTCAAAAGGGGATCGGAGCCTTGGAGCAATGGTAAAGTTGTCTATGTAGTTCGACTGTAGAAGCAGCCACTAGTGCTTGTATTGGGGTAGACTGTCTACATCACACCCCTTGGGGTGCGGCCCTTCCCCGGACACTGTGTAAACACCGGATACCTTGTGCACCGGGCTATCCTTTATTTTCAAATCTAAAAAAAATATTCAATCGTTCTTTTTATACACGATTCAAGTTATAACTCATGCTTGATGGTTTACAAGAAACTTAAGATTGATCCTTCATTCGACCAAAGCTCGTGTTAATGACTAATAAGAGTATTGTAAACATGAATGTGGCCCAAAGACATATTCATGCCCAATCCGCAAGAGCTGAAGAGAAGGCCCAACAATAAGTGTTGACCCGGTTCAGTTAGCTTTAAGACTAAGCATTTCATTATTCATTGTATTGTAGAAAATAAAAGCATGGTTGATTACATTTTTGTACAGACAATTCATTTTACAAGAAACAGAAAATATCTCTCTCTCTCTCTCTTCGCTCATTTCCTTCTTTGTTCAGTCTTAGGGTTTTCCCCCAAATTTCATCCTCTACCTCGAATCTCTGTGTTCTAACATGGTATCAGAGTGGTGAGTTCGACAGTCATCATCTTTCGCATTCAACCGATCCTACCCTTGTTGGTTTTCACTGGTGGTATTTTTCTAGCGACATCAATTTTTGGTTCACAAAAATTAGGGTTTTCTTCACATTTCTCTGATTTTCTCACAAGACGTTTGATTCTTCGGATTGTAGAGAAAGTACGGCACAATTTCTATTTCCATTTTCTGCTTTGTGGTTTATTGTGATAGTTCAGTGATATTTTTGATTATTACTAGTGGATGTTGTCGATTTATTGCCTCTTGTATCATCATTTACTACACAATAAGTACTATTTGTGCTACTACTTCGCATGCTACACGATCTTCATCTTATGGGTCCGAGGGCTTTACTCTGTTTTCTATTGATCCTTCACACCATTTCTATATTTATCCGCCCGATAACCCTAATTATCTTTTGGTTTCACCTCATTTCGATGGTCAAGGTTTTGTTGCTTGGAGGCGAAACATGCTTATTGCTCTATCTGCGAAAAACAAGCTAGGGGTTGTAACTGGAAGGAATCCCCAACCAAGTCCCGATTCTCCTTATTTCTTCTCTTGGGAGAGATGCAATGACATGCTTATTGCATGGACTAATTCCCTGACTCGAGACATCTTTGTTAGTCTCATAGAGTATAATACATCTAAGGACATCTGGCGTGATCTAAATGAAATGTTTGGTCAATCAAATGGTTCAAAATATATTCAAATCCAGAGGGAAATCAGCGCCACTAGTTAAGGGTCCTCAGACGTTGCTACATATTTTACTAAGATAAGAGGTTAGTGGGATAAACTTCATGCTGCTTATGTAGGGACAACTTGCACATGTGGAGCCCTTCCTAAGAGGATCAACAATTGTTCCAATTTTTAAGTGGC